ATTGTTTCTATTTCGTCCGTCCGCGTCCGTTGCACCCTCCGTTGACGGAATACGTCCGACGCGCGTCAGACGGAGATAACGGAGACGGAGATGAAACGGACATGTTTGGACGGATCCGTCGTCCGTTTCACGCGCCCGATGGAGTCGGGCCTAACAGAGGGGAGAGATGATGCGTGTGGATGTTATGTATCAATGGAGGGGGGGTTGTGTGTGTGTGTGTGTGTGTGTCTGTCTGTGTGCGCGCGTGCGTGTGCATCTGTGTGCGTGCATATGTGGCACGTGCGGCATGAGAGTCGGCCCAGAGTTTACTGATAAATTGGCGCACACAGCTAGATACAGACCCGCTCGTCACACCGTGTAAATAGGGCTTAAAATAGCGTTATGAAGAGACCTCCCTCCTTTTTCTTTTTTTAACCGACAGCTTTGACCGGTTAACGCTGTGACGGTCAACCACCGATTAAACGGTCACCGATTTACATCCCTACCTCAGTCTGACCCGTTCTCCATTAGTTTGCTAATGCAGTGGTCCGGTTGTGCCATGAAGGTGGGCCCCAGTCTCACTGTCGTAATTCTTTTGAATTCTTCATTTATCTGCAACACACATGTATTAAACATACATCATACACATTATTACACCACTCTGAGCTGTGTAAAGCAGTGCTTTTAACGTGTAATGCATGCATAAATATATATACATTACCTGTGATGCATTGAAAAGTGCTGGCCAGCGCTCCTTGACCGGCGGCTCTTCACACAGGACTTCCTGACGACGGAGAGAGAAAGTCCGGTTCATTTTAAAGCTGCACCAACTGCCTTTATTTTTGTATTCGTTACGAAAATGCAATCCATATCCATGCAGTGCATTGGGATATACGTCCTTTTGAAAAATAAGTAGCGCAGGTTTGTGCTGGCGTGACATTATATTTAGATCAAGTTTTCATGAAACAAGGAAGAGAATGTGGTTCGGGTCTCAGATTGTGACCAATCACAGCGGACCACAGGCCCCCACTTTCTTGAGAAAAGCTTCACATCTCTCCTTAGCACAGACAGCTGAGTTAGCACAACAAGCGGCGGAGGCTAACCTGAAACTTCCCGTGTCTTCGTTACTGCTTACACCAGTGTCTCCCAAAGTGGGGTCCGCGGCCCCCTGGTGGGCCGCGAGGGTACTGCAGGGGGGCCGCGGGAGGTCATAAAAAAAATAAAAAAATAATATAATTATTTAATGTTAAATTTATAATGTTTTGTTTGTAATATTAAAATATGTGTGTTCATTATTTGACTTGAATAATCCACTGTAATCATTTTTGTATTACAATGTTTGTAGCAGAGGCTATTTCCCCAAAATAAAATAACCAGAAGAGCCGATTCTTAATGTTGTCTTCTTGGTTATTATTTTGGGGGGCCACGCAGACCCGTCAGATTTTTAAGGGGGCCTCGGTGTTACTGAGTTTGGGAATGGCTGGCTTACACAGTGAAACATCCATCCAAAAGAAAGTCTCGTCCTCTCCGCGCTTCCCGGTTCTGTCATTCTATGGTCACGGCATCCACGTGCAAAAGTGCCATATTGTTTCATATTGTGAGACGCTAGCTCCGAAGCTAACAACAGCACAGAGCACAGGCTGCGGGGGAGGGGGGTAGTGGGGGGTGAAAGCTCCGTGGGTGCGGGGAGGGCGAGCAGAAAGAGGGAGGCCATCGCTCGCGTTTGAAAATGTATCAAAATCAGTTAGTGCAGCTTTAACTCGCTAACAAGAGAACCTTCCCGAACGTGTTTTTTTGGAAAAATACATCAAACAACTTTACACAGGCCGCGAGACTCTCAAAAAACACGCTTAGCGAAAATTCTAACTGACTGTAGCTCAGAAAAAGGCGGGCCACAGCCGTGGCATGAACGTTTCAAACCAAATGCCCTTCTTGCAATTGAAAAATTAAGATGTATTATGAAAAATACATTTATCTTTTATTTATTTATTTTTTTTACAATTTTTTTTTTTTTTTTATTGGTATCATTACTTAATATATGGCTACATTACGCATCTCCATTCCATTTATCATGAAATAAAGTGTATTTTTTCTTTTATTTATGCCATAAATTGGCATATTGTATATTTCTGACCAATATATTGATAATCGTCATATCGTGATAAAATCGTTATCGTGATAATAACGTTATCGTGATAATAACGTTATCGTGATAATAACGTTATCGTGATAATAACGTTATCGTGAGCTTTGTATCGTGTATCGTATCGTATTGTGAGGTACCCTTAGGTTCCCACCCCTACAAATATACAAATCAACAAAGCAAAGAGCATATGCAACGGCCAACAGTTTTACTTTTAGCCTTTCACACTCGACGTACATGTTAGTATTAGATAGCAATATGGCCTACGTGCAGAACTGTACAAGGACTCTGATTATTTTGACTATGATGTGACTGTCTCTGTGTGACACGTCTTTCCATGTGTGACGTGACAATGACTATATAAACTGTGTACTGCCTTTATTCTGTCTGAGAGAAAGAAACAATTGAAACCACTGGAACTTGAGAGAAACTTAAATAAACTTCCAGAGTTTGGCGCACCACGATCCGTCTCTGTCTGCTTCATTCCTGACAGATTTGGTGGAGAATGTGCGGCTCAGTGTGCGCCATTCTCTGGATTGTTTTGAGGGAGTTTCCTTTGTTTCTTTTTTTCGGCGTGTGGGAGCAACAGCACGTAGGCCATATTGTAGTGATGGGTCCAGCAACACTGATACACCGGCGCATGTGCCAAGTTCGTTTGGCGAAACCTCGTGCGCGCGTGTCGCTTTATGAAAAAGCCACGTGACCGATACAGCCGCAGTGTCGCTTGTCCCGACACGGCAAACTGTGTTTAAAAGGTTCCGCAAAAGTGTCACCGGTATCGGTATGAACCGCTCTCAGAAAAAGAAAATAACACTTTCAAATAGGAAAAACATCCCATTTTACAGCATCAAAATGGAACCTGCCACTAAAAGAAAGTATTCTGCAGTGTGATACTGCAAATAACAGCAAATAAGGCAATGTTTGTATTTTAAATTTCACGCTTTATCTACAATCAATATTTAGTTTGAAACGGAAAATCTAGTTAGGCATGGTGGGCTGAGTGGATAGCGCTCTCACCCCGCGTTAGAGAGAACTGGGTACGAATCCCTGTCGGACCTCAAAGGTTTATGTTGACATCAGTCTTGAAGAATGATTTTGAGAAATTGAAGTGTAGAAAATGTCAAAGGTTTTTTCAAGTATACTTTAGTTGCCAGGGTTTACAGTGCACTTTGGACATGCTTATTGTTTTGAAAAAAAAAATAAAATATATATATATATATATATATAAGATCACTCAATGACATTTTGCTTAATGAATACATTCACAACTATCACTTTAATTTTCACATAAAAATAAAATAATAACACAGACAATGCAGTTACGTAATATTGTGTACAGACAAGTATGTAAAGCTCATTGAATCAGTGAGTTGCATGTAATGATTTATCAGATCCACCAGGCGTCAGTATAGAGCAGCACAAGCAACACTGTTGCGGCACAGTATCAATACAGTTCGTTGGATGTGCCGAAACGATACGTGAGGTTTCATTTACCCATCACTACCATATTGCTATCTAATACTAACATACATGTAAATTATTTCTAAAGTACGTGACTATTTGTTTCACAGAGGTAACAGCAAATTGTACACATGTTTTTGCGAATGCAATGCTCCTGGTTTGAATAAAATGCCACGTACCTTTCAAACGTGCTTGGAAAAGCAGTTTAGCGGATCACGTCCTGATCAAGTCTTTGCAGAACTTGCCCGGGCATGTTCAGTGGGAGGAGCATGGGCCAGTCAAAACATTAAGTTGCCAGGTAAAAACATCCAGTTGTGGAGGGTTTTTGTATTTCACGCCAACACATTTTTTGTTGCAATTGTTGTAACATAAAAGGTCCTTTCAGGCAGGTAAATATTTTTGCCTTACTGAACAGTCTCTATATTTGAGTTAAAGCTGCTAATCAAATTATACTGCAGCACAGAAAATTAACCTACAATGAACTGCTCACTTTTTCTACTTAGAGGAAATAAATAGTTAAAGTATTTTTTCAATACGTGACCTGGATGACTTTTAAGAGTGTATGTGACTGCTTCCTCTTGACACATGGGTTTTATGTGACTGTTTGCTTCCCCTTGGCACAATGGATTATATGTGACTGTTTGCTTCCTCTTGGCACAATGGGCTCTTTCATGGACCAAACGCTGATCTGGAAACTAACACGTCGTATACTTCTATGAGCATAATAATTTAGGGTCCCCCTCTTGGGTTCTAGAGGCTCTCTGGGCTCTATGTGACAAAGAGAAAAAGTCTCAGGCCTGAAATGATTATGTACCGGTGAAAACTAAATAGTTGAATGTTTTCAATATTTACAGTCCATGGTGATTACAAAGTCAGGGTAAGGCTACGTTATGGGGGGAGACGGGTGAGGGTGGGATGACAGGCTCACAGTGGAAGGCGCACTCATACTAGTGTTTGCAAAGGTGACTTCATGCAAAAAATTTGTGTTGTATCATGCAAAGTATTATCACATACTAAATATAACCTTTAAATCAAGATTTCTGTCAACAACCAATCATTTGATTTTCTGTAACGGACAGTCATGGTGTGGACTTCATTTTGACCTAATACTCTATAATCATGTAATTCATCTTATGTACTTAATTATTTATTACATAGTACTATATCCTGGCAAAGCTGTGAAGCACAGATGGATAATAGTAACGGCCAAGCCAGTTCCAGTGAGGTATGAGAAATTTTAAAAAAATGGTTCCTTGTTGTGTGACGTGGATGAACCTGGAATGATCGTCAGAGCAACGGGCCCTCCCAAAGCACATCCAGTTTAAAAGGAGTCAGAAGGAGCAGCATCCATCAGAACAGTCACAGGTACAGGTGCATTAGACAGGAGAAAGACAGACGCCTGAAGACATCTGCAGACATGAAGACTGCACTCAAGCTGCTGCTGTCCCTGGCCTTAGCTGTGGCTCTGTCCATCAACACAGGTGAATATCAGCCGCACTATAGTCCTCATGTGCTCCTGAAAAACATGGCATTTAGACCCCCAGCCACAGGGGGCTGTGCTTTTTAAACATGTGATATACTAATGATCGTATAGTGCACAGAACTGATCCAGCTTTTTCCAGGAGCTCCATACTTGGTAATGTTTAGGTTAGTAATGCTTAGGTTAGTAATGTTTAGGTTGGTTTGTTTAGGTTGGTACTCTTGAGTTCTCTTCAGTTCTATTCAGTTCACACTACGTATCCGTCCAAACGTGCCTGTTTCATCTCTGTTTCTGTAAATTTGCCGTTTATTTATTGCGTAATTTCAATATTGACTCGCTTTCAAAAAAGCCTGGATATGTTGGAGTTGTTTTCTCTCTACACCCCTTTTTACCATTTGCTTTCAATAAGTTTTGCCTCATCCATCGCAACTTCCTCAATGTAGTAGTGCAATAGTGCCGTGCTTTGCATAGATCATAGCCACAGCGAGCCGAACAGAGACGCGGCCGGTGGAGTCCAGCACTTATGTTAAAATTCTATTATTCTAATTCATTTGGATTGGTCATGAAACTACAAAGAAATGATCCATTAGTCCGCCCCACCTGTCCACATGTGCTTTGTGGACTTGGAGAAGGCGTTCGACCATGTTCCCTGGGGGGGTGTCCTTTTGGGAGGTTCTCCGGGAGTGCCGGGTCCTCTGCTGAGGGCCGTCCGGTCCCTGTATGACCGGAGTCACAGCTTGCGTCGCCGGCAGTAAGTCGGCTGTTTTATCGGACTGTTGTGGTAAAGAGGAAGCTGAGCCGAAAGGAAAAGCTCTCCATTTACTGTTCATTCTTTGTTCCCTCTCTCGCCGATGGTCTTTAGCTTTTCTTTGCTCGACCACGGTCCGGGGCTTATATGAAAGGTTTTTTTTTTTTTTTTTTTTTTTTTTATTTGCAGAAAAAAAAGAAGACATACAAAACAACAGTGATACAAAAACATACATAGACATTCAGGTATACATAAAGGTGAACATACAGGTAGACGTACAGGTAGACGTACGGGTAGATATACAGGTAGGGAAACAGGTATTGGCGGTAAAAAGGGTTGAGGGGGGAAGGAAAAAGTTAGTTAGTCAACATCGGCGGTAACATAGGATTCTTTAGTTGGAGAGAAGGAAGCGTAAATAGAAGAGTGACAGTATTTGCACATCTATACACGCACAAACACACTATGTATATATATGTGCCTACATATGTGCACATATACACACATACACACAATACACACACATACATCCATATATACACATATACATATACGTACACACATATACCCATACCCATACATACACACCCACATAACGCGTATATATCACACATATACTAACATACACATACATATTTAACTACATATGCATACATATATAACTATACGCCCGTGCATATACACATGTATACACCTCTATTCACATATACAAGAGAGACATAAAATAACAAGGTTGGGGTGGTGATAACAATAATAACAATCAGTAAGGAGAAAAGGGCAGGGGGACTGTAACAAGAAGGGTGTGTGGATCATTATTTATAAATCTTTATATTACATTTATTTATTTATTTATTTTTTAATGAATTAATATTTACTCGTGGGTGTAGTTGAGTACTAAGCCAGGCGTGACCCCCCCCCCGACCTCCAGAGTGCATCTCTTCCAGCACACCCCAGGACACCAATTCCGTGTGCGCTCGCTGCCCATTTTTGTGGATTTGTGAAAAGGTTTTCTTTTATCTTTTCCCCTGGTTTAATGAAGTGCATTAAAATAAGCTTAGAGCTTACCCTATTCTCAGTGTATGCTGTGTTGGGCCCTGACTAGTGTGTTGCGTTAAAAACAGAGCAATCATGGCCAGTGTGATGGGTACTGGAGGGACGAGACTGAGATGAGAGGGAGTAGAGCCGGCCCAGACCGCACACCCAACTACCCCCACAACTACCCCCATTTCATTAATTCAAATAGTTAATTCTGATATTATATAAACAATGATAAGGAATATTAATATAGTAATATCATTAATATCATTATTATTATTATCATCACTGCTAGTGTGATAAAATACATAGTTCTAAAATACATAGATAACCTACACACCTACACACACACACGCACACACACGCACACTCAAACATACACACTAATAATTAGTTATATTGTGTTTTTATTTTTATTTTTTTCCATTCCTTCTCTTCTTCCCCCTACATAATCTTTTTGGGATGTACATGTAGGGTTTTTATATCAGTGGAGATTATAATTGTATTGATTATTATAAGTGATTGATGAAGTGTTTCCAAGTGTCCTGAAAGGCTGATATATTATTCTGTTTTATAGCAGTTTGTTGTTCGTGTCGCATGTGATCCGAGATGGCATTCAGCCAGTGTTTTATGCTACATGCTTTTTTGTTTTTCCAGTTTTGAAGTATAACTTTCTTTGCGACAGCCAGAGAAGTGAGAAGTGGATTTTGATATTTATGACATAGGTTCATATTTGACGTATCTCCCAGAAGGCACAGAGATGGATTTAATGGAACTCTGCAGCCCAGGATGACGGAGAGTTTGTTAGTAACAGATACCCAAAAAGAGTGCACCGGTGTGCAGTCCCATGTGGCGTGTAAGTATGTGTCTGTGCTACCTAAAGTGCATTGTGTGCATATGTCAGTGTCTGCTAGGTTCATTTTATGTAATCTGTTTTGTGTTAGGTGGGTTCTGTGAATGGTTTTGTACTGTATTAGTTGAAGATTGGTGCTGGTTGTCATGGTAAATATATTATTACATACGCTGGTCCAAAAGTCGGGGTTGGGAGAGATATCCAGTTCAGTTTCCCATTTGACGGATGGGAGTGTGAGCTGTTGTTTGGAGGATATTATTATTTTGTACAGTTTGGAGGTTAATTTTTGTAATTTCGAGATTTTAACAATGCTTTCTACCAGAGGCGGGACGGTTAAATGGTTAATAAGTATGTTAGTTTTGGATTTTATTAAATTCTTTATTTGTTGGTAATGTAAAAATTCTTCTCTCCCAACCCCGTACTTTCTGGTTAATGTGTCAAATGAGATGAGTGTGTTGTTTTCAAAGAGGTGATGTAAGTGAGTGATACCATTTTGCTGCCAGCGGCGTAAATAAATAGGTGAATTATATTGTTGGAAATCAGGATTGTGCCATAACGGAGTGTATCTGCAAGAAGAGAGTGAGGAGTCTGTGATTTTTAGAATTTTCCACCAGGCTGTCAGAGTCGTGGAGATGGTGATTGACTTGAAATACTGTAGCTTTTTGATAGATTGTGGTAGGAATGCAAGGTCGGCTATTGGTGTATCTTTACATTGGTTCTGTTCTAGGACTGTCCAGGGTTTGTTGTATTGCTGATTTTTAATCCATATGTAGATGTATTGGAGTTGTGTGGCTAAAAAGTAGTAGAAAAAATTTGGGGCTTCAAGGCCACCTTGTTGTTTACTGTTTTGTAATGTGGATAGAGCGATTCGAGGCGGTTTGTTTTTCCAGTAAAACTGCGTGATTGAAGTGTTGAGCGATTTAAACCAGTTGTCTGTTGGGGTGGTGGGGATCATTGAATATAGGTATGTGATTTTAGGTAATATCTTCATTTTGACTGCAGCAATTCGACTTATTAATGATAGGGGCAGATGTTTCCAGCGGTTGAGATCGTCTTTAATATTTTTTAGTAATGGGGTATAATTAAGATTGAAGAGTTCTGACAGCCTGGCGGAAATATCGATTCCCAGATATTTTATGTTGCCCAGGTGAATTAAAGGAAAAAGGTCTTGGGCTGCAGAGTTCCATGAGTCTTTAGTTAGTGGAAGTAGTGTGGATTTTGACCAGTTGATTGTATAATTGGAGTGGAGGGAAAATTCATTTATAATGGAGAATGTTTCTTGCAGAGAGATTTGAGGATTTTGTAAATGTAATAGTAGGTCATCAGCATATAAGCTAAGTTTGTTTTCTTCAGTTCTGCTTTGAATTCCTATGATGTTGTTGTTTGTTCTTATAGCAGCTGCCAGTGGTTCAATAAATAATGCAAATAGTAACGGAGAGAGTGGGCATCCCTGTCTTGTTCCCTGGTGAAGAGTGAAGCTGGGTGATGTGATCCCGTTTGTGATTATTGTAGCCCTCGGTGAGTTATATAGCGTTTGTATCCAGTGGACGAACGACTCTCCAAAGCCAAACTCTGTGGTCCTTCTGGTCTCTTTTGGTCTCTCTCTGTCTGTGTAGTGTGTGGAAGAGGAATTGCCTGGGTGCAGCTATGACGCTACCTCCCCCGTCCCAGACATGGATAAGAGGAAGAAGATGATGGAACTCTCTGGTCCCTCTTCCTCTCTGGTCTCTTCTCTCTGTCTCTCTCTCTGTCAGTCTCTCTCCTCACCCTGGCTCTCTCCTGGTCTCTCTGGTCTCTGGTCTCTCTCTTGTCTCCTCTCTGGTCTTTTACTTTCTCAACTCTGTCTCTCCTTCTCTGGTCTCTCTCTCTGGTCGCTGGTCCCTCTCTCTTGGTCTCTGCTCTCTGGTCCACTCTCTCTGTCTCTGTCTCCCTCACTCCTGGTCTCACATCTCTCTGGTCCCCTCTGGTCTCTCTCTCCTGGTTCTCATCCTAAAGTGTCCCTTTCGTTGTTGTTTTCAGTTCTTTGTCCCTGTGCCACAATACGGTGCTATGCAGCTCTCTCAGACTCCTTGTCTCCCGGTTACTAAGAAAAGTTCCATCCCTACCATCGAGCGCACGGTTTGGCCTCTCGATCCGAAAAGGCCGGCCTCCACGCCAGACGCCTTCAACGAGGTCTGACACCTACACACACCTGCAGGGGGCGCCTGTCAACTTCCACTGCCATTTTCTAGAACAGGATCCGAGCACCAGAAGTGACAACCCCCCCCCCAAAAATGAGGGTCTTTCTCTCTCTCATGGTCTCTGTCTCTGGTCTCTCTCTTTAGTCTCTTTTCTATCTCTTCGGTCTCTAACTTTGATCTCCCTCTCTGGTCCTCTTTATGGGGTCTGTCTCTCTCTAAGTCACTTTCTGGCCTCTCTCTCTGTCACCTCCCGCGTTCTAGGTCTCTCTATGGACTCTCTCTGGTCACTCTCTGGTTTCTCGGTCTAGTCAATCTCTGTTCTCTCTCTGGTCTCTACACTCTCTCTCTCTGGTCACTCGTTCTGTTCTAACTCTGGTCTAACTCTGGTCCCTTTCCTCTGTCTTGTCTCAGGTCTGTCTCTAGTCACTCTCGGTCTCGTCTCTCTCGCTGTGCTCATCGATCTGGTCTCTCGTTCTGGTCTGTCTCTGGTCGTTCTCTGGTCTCCTCCTGTCTCTCTCTGGTCTGTCCTGTCGTAATAAGTAAGTTATTAATTATATACCCCGCCTTTTTCACTGCAGATCTGAGTCTCAAAGCGGTTTACAATTGTTAATTTTGGGCAATTTTGCTCCACACCCCACACGAGATGGGAGCGGGGCCAGTACAAGAGCACATGCCAGAACTATTGGACTAAAGAAAACATAGTTTTAGTAGTGTTAGGGGAAAGCCGAGTACCCGGAGGAAAACCTACGCAGACACGGGAGAACATCAAACTCCACTCAAAAGCCCTGGGTCCCGGCCGGGATTCGAACCCCAGGACATTCTTGCTGAAAGCGAGAGAGCTATCCACTCATCCAACCCCCGTGCCGGTGGCTGAGTCTCTTGTTTCTGGTCTCTGGTTTCTCTCTGTACTCCATCTGTCTCATGTCTCTGGTCTCATCTCGTTCCTCTCCTCTGGTCTGTCTACTGGTCTCCCTCTGTCTCCCTCTGGTCTCCCATCTGGACTCCCCCTGTCTCCCTCTGGTACTCCCTCTGGTCTCTCTCTGGTCTAAACCCAGTCTCAGTCTCAGTGGGGAACACGGTCCTCATCGTCTTCGTCATTTTTGTGGCAGCCTTCACACCGCCCCGGTTCATCGCAGGAAGGCGCTGCTGTCGCTCGCGGGCGCATCTCGCAACCCCCCCCTCATGACCCTGACCAGCCCCACTACCTGTACGCCCCTATGATACATCAGACCCAACCATGGTGAGTACAGAGAGACCAGAAGAGAGAGACACAGAGAGAGAGACCAAAGAGAGAGACCTAGCAGAGAGAGAACCAGAGAGATAGACCAGAGAGAGAGAGACCAGAGAAACCAAAGAGAGAGACCAGAGAGAGAGAGACCAGAGAGAGAAGACCAAGAGAAGACCAGAGAGAGAGAACACAGAGAGAGGAGACCAAGAGAGAAGAGACCAGAGAGAAGAGACCAAGAGAGAGACCAGAGAGAGAGACCAGGGAGAGAGAGACCAGAGAGAGAGACCACAGAGAGACCATCAAGAAGTACTAGAGAGAGAGCCCACAGAGAGCCACCACAGAGAGACCAAAGAGAGCCCAGTAGAGAAACCAACAGAGAGTGACCTAGAGAGAGAGACCAGAGAGAGAGGACCAGAGAGAGAGACCAGAGAGAGAGACCAAGGAGACACCAAGAAGAGACCAGAGAGAGACCAAGAAAACCACAGGACAAGGACAAGAGAGAGAGGACCAGAGAGAGAGAGACCAAAGAGAGACCAGAAGAGAGAGACCAGAGAGAGACCAGGAGAGACCACAGAGAGAGACTCAGAGAGAGAGAGACCAGAGAGAGAGACCAGAGAGAGAGAGACCAGAGAGACCACAGAAGAACAGAGAGAGACCAGAGAGAGACCACAGAGAGAGACCGAGAAGAGAAGACCAGAGAGAGAGACCATAGAGAAGAGAGACCAGAGAGAAGAGACCAGAGAGAGACCAGAGAGAGAACCTACAGAGAGAGACCAAGAGAGAGAGACCAAGAGAGAGACAGAGAGAGAGAGACAAGAGAGACGACCAGAGAGAGAAGAGACCAAAGAGAAGACCAGAGAGAGAAACCCAAGAGTTTTTGGCTTTTTTGCAACAAGTACCAAAAACAAACCACATCGTAAACCCAGCAGCTTCAACAACACGGCTCGTATAACGTTGTCCTTGGTGTGACGTGTGTTGTTCTAGAACCTTCTGAGCCGTCCATCAATCACTGTACTCTCACTCGCATCATCTAAACTACCTCTCAGGGGAACGGCTCTGAGACTGTGCCACCAAATCCCCAGATCCTCCCCCACACCCTCCTGTGTGTGACGACGGTCCCATCACCCACATGCGGTCACGAGGGCATCCACCGCTCCTGTCTCTCCAGCTCCTGCTTCCTGGGCTCAGCTGCTGCTCGGCATTGGTGCGGGTTGCGATACCAAACCGTTCGGCATCAGTTACATTCGACGCCATCTCCATCAAACCAAACTCGTTCACAGCAACGAAACGCAAACTCCCCTCCCAACTCCCCCCTCCTAACCTCCGTAACTGCCAACGCAGATACGCGCCCCTCGCCCCCTACCCCTCTGGACCCCCTCCCACCTCTACCTTACACCAGCCCCTACCTCAGATTTTATGTCCCTCACCCCTTCTGACCAGGAACCTGGTCTGGACCAGGACCTGGTCTGGACCAGGACCGGGTACCCTGCCTGTCCTGTCCTCCCCAAAATCCTCAGAGGATCCTCCTCCTCGCTGTCACCTCCACAATGGTCCAGCGCTCGGTTTATGACCAGCGCCGTCACACCCTCAGCTCTAATTGGACTTCACTCTGTCAAACCAGGCAGGACCTGAACCAGGAACTGATCCAAGGACTGAACCAGGACTTGGACTTAGTAGTATTAGGGCTCTACGGTTGCTGGGCATATGTGAGAGTGCCCTGTTTTCTCAGAACCAGGTGTCCTCGAAGCCTGGAACTGCGCTGGGTCGGGCCTGGTGGCTCGGGTTCCTGTTGGCGTCCTTGTTTACTGCTGCTGACGCCTGCCCCTGCTGTTCTTCCCCAGAGAGCTCCCCCCAAGGTAAGGAGTTACACTAACACTTCACCCAGACTTTGACTGTACCAGGACCGGGCAGGACCATAGACTTATTATAACGGACAGAGTCACGCCTATCTCCTCCGCCGTTCAAACAAATGGGCCAAAAAATGTGCTGCTCTGGCAAGCAATCCAAAATGGCCGCGAAGTGGTCCCACCCACAAAAGGAAACCCCGGGGGGGGCATCGTCAGCCGGCGAGAGCTCCCATCATTTAAACGAGAGACTTAAAAATTCTCAAACACTATACTAGACTGGTCCAAAAAACACACCCCACTCAGCACTGACACACATGTGGAACGGAGCCAAGACCCAACTTTTGACCATCCTGTAAAGACGTTTACTCAGAGGTCTGAATTAGCCATGCTAACATATACATTGCAAATTCTTATTACCGGGTCCACCCCCCCCCCCCCACCCATCGGCCCGGTGGTATTGCAAGCATGTCCAGCGAAAGTCATTTTAGCCCTACTATTGAGCCGGGACCCTCCCCCACTGAGCAGACCAAAACTCATCGACAAGGACTGAACCCAGTGTATGTTACAACGGGGTCTGAAAAGAGTGAGACGAGTCAAACCACAGGAACAAAAAAACACACAAACTTTGGGAAATCTTTCCTCCGCAGTGATCACTACAACACAAACACAACACACACACTCACACACACAACACACTCAACACACTCACACACATTCGAAAAACACACACTACGCACACAAGATAAAAAAACAACGAGAAAAAAAAAACCCCTCACACACACATTCACACTCACACACACACACAAACAAACTCACAAAAGAATCTCTCAACACCACACTCAACACTCACACACACACACACCCAACCCCAATCACCACGCCACAAAACTCAAACACACACACACACACACACCACGCACACAATTAACACCCCTCACACACACACGCGTCCCCCACACTCACACTCACACACAACACACAAACAAACTCACACCCACACAATCTCACACCGACAACACCCACTCACACGCACAAAGCAACCACACACACACGCACTCACAACACAATAAACCGACACACACACACACACACACACACCCACACACAGTTCCCAGTCTACATATGTGGCTTCCTCCCTCCCCCAGGCTTTCCTCGGGACCGCGCCCTCCGACCCTGCGGTCTCTATCCGGTCTACATGTGCGTGGTCTTGCTCAGTGAACCTACACTCGCGCACTGCAACCTGCGACTCCCACCTTCATCGCCACAAGTTCATGGAGCCCAGTTCACGCCATAGCACGCTTCAACCACCAAACATGATGATCGGTAAGTACCCCAAAGACAGGACCGGCGTCTGGTCAGGACTGGGCCAGGACCAGAACCGGTCTGGACTGGTTCTAATGCAGTCTATCTAGATTCCCCAGTGGGTAAGACTTACAAAAAATGCTTTATCCTTAGTGTACTGTAGGGGGGTGTCTGCTCTCTCTCCCTGTAGGGGGCTTAGTCCCCTCCCTTTCACAGAACCCTTCCTCTCTCTCATTCCCCTCTCACTCGTCTCTCCTGCAAGGAAGTGTCTCTCTCTCTTTCCACTTAGGGGTTGTCTCTCTCTCGTCTCACTGTGTGGGTGTCTCTCACCTTCCGCTCAGCTCTCTCTCTCTCCCTGTAGGTGTGTCCTCTCATCTCATCACTTTCTCTCCTGCAGATAATTGTCTCTCTCCCTCCGCTGTAAGGGGCGTGTCTCACTCCCCTCTCTCTCTCGCTCCAGGGGGCGGTGGCTCTGCTGCCCTGCTCGATCCTGGGTATTCTCCTCGGTGGCTGCTGATGATGCTGCGTTGTGCGGCCTCTCCACAGTCGGATGCCGGCAGGAAGTGTGCCTGGTGTCGGTGAGCTTGTGCGTCCCTGACCAACCACCGCAACTGGTCCCCGCTTGGCTCAGGCTTGTAGGCTGCTCAGCAACCCGTGTATAGGGTTTATGTGCCCGCAGGGGCGCCAGGTAATGGTCTCTCTCTCTGGCTCCATCTCTCCTGCTCCTCTCTCTGGTCTCTCTCTGGTCTCCTCACTGGTCTTTCTTGCTGGTCTCTCTCCTCTGGTCTCACTCTGTCTCTGCCTGGGTCTCTCGCTGGTCTCCTCGCTTGGTCTCTCTCTGGTCTCATCTCTGTCTCTCTCATGGTCTTTCTCTGGTCTCTCCCTGTCTCATCTCTGGTCTCAGCTCTGGTCTCGTCTCTGTCTCTCTCTGGTCCTCTCGATGGTCTCACACGGTCTCTCTCTGTCTCTCTCTGGCTCTCTCTGTCTCTCTGGTCTCGTCATCCCTGGTCCTCTTTGTTGGGTCTGAAAGTTATGTACCACAGCTTTTTTTTTTTTTTTTTTTTTTTTTTTTTTTTTTTTTTTTTTTTTTTTTTTTTTTTTTACTTTTTTTTTTTTTTTTTTTTTTTAACCAAAAAAAACCCCCCGCCCTTTTTTACCCCCCCCCAACCCCCCACCCTTGGTCTGTTCTTGCTTTGTGCAGCCCAGTCCCAGACCCCGTCTCTGGTCCGGTTTTGTAAATCCTGTACTCTGTCAGGAGGACTGTTCAACCCCGTTCTGTGGTTAGCTGACAGAGTGGAGTTCAGGTCCCCGTGTCACGCTGGCTGCAACGTCCCAAGAAAGGGAACCCAGAGACGCCGGTGGCGCATTTAATTGCATTCGCCCCCTCCCCAGACAAACCACCGCTCCCCAGACGCCTATTTCTATTAATTTTTTTAATTTATTTTTTTTGAGCCATATGTTAAAATGCATAGACATTCAAACTCGCAGATTTAGCAATTGACAAAAAAAAACACATAGAAATATTGACAGAGTTCAGGACAGTACATGAATAAAAATACAATCATCCTAAAATTGTTTTACAATGTATCACTTCCACAACATGAAGACAAGCAGAAGTTACTATGGTAACACTGTTTAAGCTTCACACCACATCTGCAACAATTTCTCTACAGATAAGTTAATTAAAGTGACAGATTTATTTGTGGGAATCGTGTCGAGAGCTCTGCAGTTTGAATAATTTGTGGTTAAATTTTCCAGACGCTACACAACGCACACGCTGTATCCTCTGCGTCCCCCCCGGCCACTATCTGGAGATCCTGACCCAGTCCCAATCCATCTCGCTCAACCGCAGTCTTGGGTCCGGCACCAGATCCTGGGCCCGTCCTGGTTCCTAGTGGGAGTTCCCGTGTTCACGATCTGAATCTCTGACTTTCCATGTTTTATGTCTCTGACAGAGTTCATCGCCCTCCCTTCAACCTCTGCCACACACCGTCCAACCAAACCTCAATCCTCCGTACGTAACGAGTTCTACGAGTACTAATACAGTGCCGTTAGTATACTGCCGTATTACAGCCAGCAGTAGGCCGTACTACACTCAGTACGGAGTAGAGTACTTTTGTACTTCTGTACACGGCTAGAGGTACGTTTGCTGCTGCTATACTGCTCTAGTACTGCTGTAGTACGCTTAGCTGACGAAACTGCTGGTTCTAACTGCTGAAGTAACTACTGCTGATATACTGTTGAGTACTGCGGTAGTACTCCGTATACGGCTGTGGTACTCGTAGCCTGCTGTAGACTGCTGAATTACTTGCTGTGTCTATACTGATTCAACTACGCTGTAGTACTGCTGAGTACCCAGCTGTATACGGCTGTGGTAACTTGTGTCTGTAGTACTGCTGAAGCCTATGCTGTAGTAACAGCTGTTCTAAAAGATAAGAAAAAGACCGGCTGTAGTACTGCTGAAGTAACGGCTGTGGTACTTGTGCTGCTGTAAGTGTCTTTCTGATTGGTTTTTGTCGACAGGTCGGGTTGCCAGTGGACACAAAACGTTTGCAGTTGGGCTTCATACATGTTCTTCCAGAGTCCTGGTGAGGAATCATGTGAACATATTACACAGGGCGACCCCCCCCTCTGAAAGGACAATACGACCCCTCCAACGCCCCACTGATAGGGCACGCTCGTCGCCCACTCTCTAATAAGAGTACACAACATACACACCCCCTCATGAAAGACAGACTAGAAATCACCACCTCCTCTCGAGAGAACCCACCACCTTTGATCACAGCCACGGGCGCCCCCCCGCTTTAAAGTGGAACAAAGCCACTATCCTCTTTAACCACCCATAAAGGTACAATCCCATCACGCCCGCCTTTGATATATAATTTGCATCACTGTCCTCTAATGTGAGCTTAGCCATAAAGCTAATGCTAAACAAAACACCATGTTTTCAATAATTACCAGAACATGAGCATAATAACATATATTAACATGTTAACATGTGTCTTCCATGGTGACAACAAAAACAGCCTTTTTGGTTGTGTTATAACATTGTCTTCCGTGGTAACAAGCCTTCATGCCCCCGGACACATCAACAATGCCCGATGCCCCCCCCCCCCGTGCTCACCCCAGTTCTCATACGGCAATTCTCAAACGCAAAGTCATTGACACCGAACGAAACCATGTCAGCTCTGGGGCAAAAGGAAATGCAACCGGCTGTCAACCTTCCTTTTGTACTAATACATGGATACTTTTCAGAACCAGGTGGTGACCAGGACCGGACCAGAAGACGGACCAAACAAAAGACCAAGACCAGACCATGGTCAGTACCAGAACCACAACAACGTCAGGGACTGCCCCAAGTTAGGACTCGGGTTGGGACAATTTGAGAAATGTAAAACACAACAGTCCCAGTGCAGAGCCCAGAGGACACCAGCAGAACTCAGAGACTGTATTAGGAACACAAGACCCAGAGTCAGACTGTAACTCCAAACACAGGTCCAGGACTGACTCAGGTCCTTTCTTTGGCAGGTTTCACTTGTCTTCAGCTTGTTTTCTTCTGTGGGTCCTTATTCTGATTTTCCTGCTGATGGTATGGATCCAAGACGAAAACAAAACAAGAAAAGAAAACTAGATACGAACTTACGAGTCAGACACCAGGACTGAGCTAGGTCTGAAACCTAAACCGGACCTTTATAAACGGCACAATTTTCCAGCATAAAGAACAAATATTGTACTCTTTATTAGTCCAATGCCAGTTTCCTGATATGGGAAGCACCACCCCCTCCTATAAAAGGGTATCTCACACTTGAAACCTTGTGTAACGTGTTTGTTCCTGTGATATTGTTGATAAAATGATCTTAACAGATAAGTTTGACTGTGCCACATCTGCCCTGGGGCAACCAGGCAGACGCCATCCGTCATTCGATTATCCGTTATAAACAATCGATCCCGTTTAACAGATGGACCTTGACTTTTAAGTAACGCACAAAACTAATGAAGTCCAAACAAAAACCCCATGTCCTCCAGCTAGCTATGATCTTCCACATTTAGGCTAACACTAATTGATGTCACACTATGCACTTCTAATTTATTCTTCGTTTCTGAGATTTTCATACAATCTCTGGGGCAGTCTTATGTCCGACTGCAGGACTTTAAAACTTGATGTACAGAACTGAATCACTAACACCTGAGAAACAAAAGCATAGTGCCTGACGTATACTGAGGGAGTGTAGGGTGTGTCGCCCATGTTAAAAAACTCTGAATAAAACTGCACAGTATTCTACACTCAGTTGTGACGTGTGTGTAGCCACATCTCAGAGGGCTCAGGGCAGGAACCAGACAGTACCAAAGCACCAGTAGAGTTACTGTGGAATCGCCCCCGACTCCACGTCAAAGAAGGCAGACAGACCGGTCATTCTCTGTAACCGGTGCCCCTTTTGTTCCCAGAGGTTAACCGCAAAGATTACAAACATAAAGTAACCATAAAATGAATTTTATCCAAGAAATCGAAAGAAAGATGTGATTTTTATAGAACACAACGAATGATTTAAAAAAAAAAACACATTATTCACATTTGTATGATCGCTGATTATCAATGCCAGAGGAAGATTCATTTCCCCAGAGACCACAGTACTTTATTCATTCAGAGCTAAAACATATATAATTACCATTTAACCCAATTTTTCTCTAATAAAATCTTTCCTTCTGCTCTGACTAAAATAAAAGAAAACTGAAAAGAATTTTATGGTTTTTTTTCATAATGGTACTTTGTATCCTGTCCCCCAATTTGTTCAAACTAGCCCCTAACGGCATTTTTCCACACTTTTTGAAAATAATGGTTCAGTCCAACAGAACTCAACCTTCACAAAGTTACTCAAGTCTTTCAAGGTCATGCTGTAAACAAAGGTCATTATTAGCATAAATATTTAACCCATTTCATTTTTGTTGTGTGAGATTGACATTCGTCAAGGCCAACCTTTCACTGTTACAACAGATAAACGATATTTAGATATTGTTTTAAGGAAGAATCAAACAACTGTGAAAAAGTATCAATGTCATAATTTTCCAAATGCCATTTGTTGCTAACATGTTGCAACATGTTTGCTAACATGTTTGCTAAAACATGGGAAATATGGCTCACATTAACTGGAATCTATCAACCCCGTAACAAAATGAATGGCAAATTCCTAGTAATATTTGGTATTCCATGTCTAAGTGGGAGACAGTATTTTACCAGTTCAAAATACTCCTTTGTCAAATGCTATGGTTCAGAAAGAATAATTTTTTGGTCATTTTTCAAATTCTGAGACCCAAAAAGGCATCCAGAAACACCCGCCTACATCCCAGGCAGGATTCAATCAGGTCCCGATAATTCAACCAATGTAGGTAAGACTTAGTAATACCAACATTAATAAAAAACAGATAGGTCATGATCAGGAACCAGAGACCCCTGCTGGAGAGTGTCTGTAACACACAATCCTCTCTACTTTCTACATCATTATGACTTCCAGCTTCCTGTCTGTCAGCTGTCCCATTATCAGTCATCGTCCTGTTTCATGTCATTACGGGAACCCCTGAATCTGACCATCCTGCATCTGCACTTTTGCTTGTGGGGGTTCACCATCCCTCCCCGACTGGAGCCGGCTCATTCCTTATCATGTGGCCCTTGTCCGCGTCCTAGTCGCAGTCCTGGAGCTAGAGCCTGTCCTACTGTGGAGCGAATCTGGTTTTTCACTTTTCTCCTCTGGTTTCTCAGTTCTTCCTCTATGTCAGGAGGGATTGATCCGCGGTGGTCGTTCCGCTCCCTCTGGACCATTGGCTTCGTGTGTTTGTTTTTATGACAATTCGGTTTTCCAACTGATTGATCTCCTTTGATCTGTCGTTGGTGAATCATCAACTTCCTCCTGAATGATTGCTGTATGATTTAGGACGAACACAAATACATTGCCTTAATATTAGTACCAAGGCACTACACGCTGAGGTCACTTTACTAAGAAGTGACAGTAACAGAAATGGTGAAACCAAAACTGACTCACAAACCACTTCACTCAACGTCTCAAAGGGATATGAAGTGAATGATGAAATGAGTGAACAACTAGAGTTCCAGACCCCAGAGTCCTTAAAGAGAGAATTGTGAAAATTGTGCAGAGGTATTCCTGGACACAAGTCCCCACAACATGATAATAGCCGTAAAATCCTCACACACGAGACTTTCAAAACCACCTAACTCACAGACTGCTGAAAGTGAGAACCAGAGATATCACATTTTGGTTGTAGCTGCGTGCTTGCTGCAGCTGTCAACAATTCTGCAACACACTGCAAAATGCACTGAGGTCACTGAGCAGCTATGGAGAGAGAGCGAGCGGACCAAAGAAACCAGAGATATAGAGATAGCCAGAGAGAGAGACTTTAAATAAAAGGTATCTACACCATGCTAAACTAACGGTTATATGATGTCACTGGATATATACACAGTAAATGCCGATGAGAAAAGACAGAGAAAGTTCATGATTTTATACAAACAAATAAACATTATAATATTTTACAATAAGACATACACAGAGAACATTCAGATGGTGTACATTTGCCACCCCTCAAGCACATGTCCTCGAGCTCTGCTTGTCTTCCCGCCCTGTCCCTCAGCAGGGTTGTGTATTTTAATAAAGCTTTCTTTGTATGAACATATTCCTGGATAATGTTCATTTCCTCTATAAATTCATTCATGTCATTGATGGCCCAATAATAGTGTAGTAGCCTACATAGGATACAATATATGCAGCATAATATGAATAAATATATATTCATAAAAATATTATTACATTAATTATGAGGCAGGGTGACCAATAGTGACAGATCTGCCAGCCAATCACGAGAGACTATACTTATTTGAAAGTAGTGATTTCATCCAATGGGGAGTAAGCTTCATCAAATGGGGAGTAAGCTACCAATGGGGAGTAATCCCACGTGGGCTGGCCACGTGTGATTTTTCAGCCAATCACGAGTTTGAAAGTAGTGGTATCCGCCAATGCTGAATAGTGTTTTGAAGCAGCCTGGCCAGCCGCTGCATTCATATGCTAATTAGGGCCATTAGCGCTCGGCCGGCCGCAGTGGTTCGCTGCATTCATATGCAAAGTAGGGACATTAGCATGGTACGGATGCGGCAGTTTGGAGGACAGGGCACCCTAACGGGGCTTTCACACCGCCAATGCTGAAACGTTGAAGCCCCGCTCACCAGATTCGCATTCTCTAGTTTTCAGACGCAGAGGACTTCACACCGGAACGTCCTGACGCGAGCCGGAAGTACCGGAAGTAGCCGGCCGGCTCTGATGCTAACAGAGCTATGCTAGCGGCTTCTTGTGTACAGATCTTCTCCAATATGCAGCTTTGCCGCGTGTCTTTGCTCACAGACATTCCATGGGCTTTATACAACAGTAATATGTCTTCACGGACGTGCGCCATACGTTTTTTCATGTTATTCAACGGAATTTCCGCATCAGCGAACACGGGAGCATGACAACGCATATTTTCACAAGCACACAGTCCCCCATTGTCAACCCTGGTTTGAGTTCTGGTGAAGTCTGGTGTGGGTCCTGTTTTGGCTGTTTACGAGTATTTTCAGTCTGCTCGCTCAGTCCGCTAATGTCCCCGTGACCACTTTGCTGCTCTCTGATTGGTTGTCGCACGAACGTCCCAAGGAAAGGATGAGCAGAATCTATCTCCTGTGGGCGTCGATTTTTCGCTCCTGCTCCTCCCTTTTCACTTTCCCGCCAACTCCGTGCGTCATTATTGAACAGTCCGTTCGTGCGAACCGAGAGGTCCGTGCGTTGTGACGGTCGAACGCGCGCCACCATAGACTTTGCATTGAAACCCGACGCAGCATGATCCGGTCTGAAAGCACCATTACTGCGCGTTTTGAAAACTGCCTGAGATTGCAGAAAAAGACCGTGATTTCCTGCCGTTTAGGGTGACGAAAATCTAACTTTTCATGCAGTGTCCCCCTTTGTAACGGAGGGACATACTTGCGTGAGTTTTCAACTTTGGTGAAGAGAAAACCAGTCTGATTTGCGCATGCGCAGAAACCCGAAAGAACACAAATTATCAAAATAATTCATTGGAACATAATATGTGCAATACTGCATTTTCAGAATGTCACAGAACATTGTCACTTTACCTCATGTCACTTTACTTATATAGTTTTTATCCTGCACTATTTAACTGTACAGTATATATAACTGCACTACTACATATATATTTTTTGACTGGTATTGAAGCATTTTCAGCATCTACAGCTAGTTATGTTAGTTAAGAAACATCGCACTACTTATTTGTATATATTGTGTGTGATCCCTGTGTGCTCTTACTACTGTCCTATATGTGCGATGCAACATCGACATTTTCCCACTGTGGGACGAATAAAGGAATTCTTCTTCTTCTTCTATCCCACAATGCATTGCTCATGCCAGTAGCTAACTGTTTAATACAAAAACAGTATTTGGTGAAAAGTGGCTGTAAATGAACAGTTGTTTCAGTGTGTACAGTTGTTACAGCCTATAGTCATATATGTGTGGTCCAGTGCCATTGAGAAATGCAGCTGTGAAACCAAGATTAAAATCAACTTGTATTTATTAGAACAATGATTTCACAATTTTAAATACATATAAATATTAGAGCATAATAAATAAATAAATAAATAAATAAATACTAATTTAATAATAACAGAATTCATATTGGTCTCAAGGTTGTCTCTGGAACTTCATTCAAGTTTAACAACTGCAGTTTTTCAAATGGCAAATGAACTCTTGAATCATGAAGTAAAGCTAAAAAATATCTCAACGTGACCTTGTTTGAGGGTGAACATAACAAATACATTTGACTCATACCAATAAAAGTAGCATAATACATATTATGTACTTCAGTTACAACAGAAGAATCAGGAGGAGTCCCAGGAGAGAATGGAGAAAAGTCATTCTCACATCAGACACAGCAGAGGAGGCTGCAGTAGTAGTAGTTGTAGTTGTTGCTTGTGTTGTAGTTTTTGTAGTCGTAGGTGGTGAAGTAGTAGTAGTAGGTGGTGAAGTTGTTGTAGTAGTAGTTGTAGTGGGTGGTGTAGTAGTTGTAGTTGTTGCTGGTGCTGTAGTTGTTGCTGGTGGTGAAGTAGTAGTAGTAGTAGTTGTAGTGGGTGGTGCAGTAGTAGTAGTCGTTGCTGGTGCTGTAGTTGTAGTCGTTGCTGGTGCTGTAGTTGTAGTCGTTGCTGGTGCAGTAGTTGTAGTTGTTGCTGGTGCTGTAGTTGTAGTTGTTGCTGGTGCTGTAGTTGTAGTCGTTGCTGGTGCTGTAGTTGTAGTCGTTGCTGGTGCTGTAGTTGTAGTTGTTGCTGGTGCAGTAGTTGTAGTCGTTGCTGGTGCTGTAGTTGTAGTTGTTGCTGGTGCTGTAGTTGTAGTTGTTGCTGGTGCTGTAGTTGTTGCTGGTGCAGTAGCTGTAGTCGTTGCTGGTACAGTAGTTGTAGTCGTTCCTGGTGCTGTAGTTGTAGCTGGTGCTGTAGTTGTAGTCGTTGCTGGTGCTGTAGTTGTAGTTGTTGCTGGTGCGGTAGTTGTAGTTTGTTGTGCTGGTGCTGTAGTTGTAGTCGTTGCTGGTGCTGTAGTTGTAGTCGTTGCTGGTGCGGTAGTTGTAGTTGTTGCTGGTGCTGTAGTTGTTGCTGGTTCTGTAGTTGTAGTTGTTGCTGGTGCTGTAGTTGTTGCTGGTGCGGTAGTTGTAGTTGTTGCTGGTGCTGTAGTTGTTGCTGGTTCTGTAGTTGTAGTTGTTGCTGGTTCTGTAGTTGTAGTTGTTGCTGGTGCTGTAGTTGTAGTCGTTGCTGGTGCTGTAGTTGTAGTTGTTGCTGGTACTGTAGTTGTAGTTGTTGCTGGTACTGTAGTTGTAGTTGTTGCTGGTGCTGTAGTTGTTGCTGGTCCTGTAGTTGTTGCTGGTGCTGTAGTTGTATTCGTTGCTGGTGCTGTAGTTGTAGTTGTTGCTGGTGCAGTAGTTGTAGTTGTTGCTGGTGCTGTAGTTGTTGCTGGAGTTGTAGTTGTTGCTGGTTCTGTAGTTGTATTCGTTGCTGGTGCTGTAGTTGTAGTTGTTGCTATGAGAGAAAACACCAGATGTAAGTCATTAATGATCATACATTCACCATGCACAGAACACCTCCCCAGGGAGGCGTCCAGGAGGCATCCGGAACAGATGCCCTGAGCCACCTCAACTGGTTCCTCTGGACGTGGAGAAGCAGCGGCTCTACTCCGAGCTCCTCCCGTGTGACTGAGCTCCTCACCCTTAGGCTGCGGTCACATGCACAGCCTAAAGCCCAGTTAAAGTGGGCCTGGGTGTGGTGGGGGCTTGATATTCTGCGTCACATTACGTCTTCCGTTGTGACGGGCATTTTCACACCCGTCTTTCCTGCACTTTCGTATTCTCCGCTTGTGTTAAACCTTTCATATAAGCCCCGGACCGTGGTCAAGGGGCGCAAAGAAAAGCTAAAGACCATCGGTGAGAGAGGGAACAAAGAATGACCAGTAAATGGAGAGCTTTTCCTTTCGGCTCAGCTTCCTCTTTACCACAACAGTCCGATAAAACAGCCGACTTACTGCCGGCAACGCAAGCTGTGACTCCGGTCATACAGGGACCGGACGGCCCTCAGCAGAGGACCCGGCACTCCCGGAGAACCTCCCAAAAGGACACCCCCCCAGGGAACATGGTCGAACACCTTCTCCAAGTCCACAAAGCACATGTGGACAGGTGGGGCGGACTAATGGATCATTTCTTTGTAGTTTCATGACCAATCCAAATGAATTAGAATAATAGAATTTTAACATAAGTGCTGGACTCCACCGGCCGCGTCTCTGTTCGGCTCGCTGTGGCTATGATCTATGCAAAGCACGGCACTATTGCACTACTACATCGAGGAAGTTGCGATGGATGAGGAAAAACTTATTGAAAGCAAATGGTAAAAAGGGGTGTAGAGAGAAAACAACTCCAACATATCCAGGCTTTTTTGAAAGCGAGTCAATATTGACATTACGCGATAAATAAACGGCAGATTTACAGAAACAGAGATGAAACAGGCACGTTTGGACGGATACGTAGTAGGTTTTACGCAGCCGGTGGAGTCGGGGCCTAAGTGTGAACTGAATAGAACTGAAGAGAACTCAAGAGTACCAACCTAAACAAACCAACCTAAACATTACTAACCTAAGCATTACCAACCTAAACAAACCAACCTAAACATTACTAACCTAAGCATTACTAACCTAAACATTACCAACGTATACAAAATAAATGCTATTTTCCCTTTGAGTTGAAGCAGATATTGAAAGACAAAGTATGGAGCTCCTGAAAAAAGCTGGATCAGTTCTGTGCACTATAAGATCATTAGTATATCACATGTTTAAAAAGCACAGCCCCCTGTGGCTGGAGGTCTAAATGCCATGTTTTGCAGGAGCACATGAGGACTATAGTGCGGCTGATATTCACCTGTGTTGATGGACAGAGCCACAGCTAAGGCCAGGGACAGCAGCAGCTTGAGTGCAGTCTTCATGTCTGCAGATGTCTTCAGGCGTCTGTCTTTCTCCTGTCTAATGCACCTGTACCTGTGACTGTTCTGATGGATGCTGCTCCTTCTGACTCCTTTTAAACTGGATGTGCTTTGGGAGGGGCCATTGCTCTGACGATCATTTTGAGAACGCACCACACCCTTTCACGTCACACAACAATAAACCTGTTTATTCTTATAACTCACTGGAACTGGTTTGACCATGACTGATATTCTAGCTTAATATGTGCGTGTAAGGAATAAAGAGCAAAAATAGTGTGAAAGCACTGTTCTAAACTATACTGACCTAGGCCTGGAACAAGCAGTGCCCTTTTCCCTTGATCTCTCTCTCAGCAGAAGTAAGGCTGGAGGCATATGTTCAGAAGCACTGTGTCCCTCATTGTCAGTCCTGTTTTAATCCTGGTTTAGGTCTGGTTTAGCTCCTGTATTGGCTATTTTTGTGTGTTTCGTCTTCTTGCTGTGACCGCCATTTGTCCCCGTGACCCTTTTGCGGCTCTCTGATTGGTTGCTGCACGTGTGGCCAGCGGAAAAAGTATTTTCTGTTTTATATAGGCTCAGGGTTATTACATTTATTGGTCCAAATGTAAATTCAAATTTTAATAATAATACAACTATGAAATTTTAATATTGTTTTTGAGCTTAAGCCCCAGCCCTAGTTCAGAGTCACAGGGAGCTGCTCTAACTTAACACAGGTTTTGGGTTCTATTGTCTCTGTCAAATAAACATAAGATCCTAAATGCACTAATTTAGTGACTCAGAGGCGGATCAGCTGGAAGGAATGGCAGCAGCATTGTTATTGATTTGTTTGTGTTGTTTTTTGGGTGTGAACTCTGCACAGACCGTACGTGAGAGCTAAAGATAGACAAAGATGACGTTCAAAAGTATTTGGCCAAATGTATTTTGGGACACATTATGCAAAATGTAATCATCAATTAGACAAAAACACCAGATTATAAACCTTGTTTATTTTTAGATTCATACACTATCGATTTAAAATCAGATTATAGTTTAAATATGAATCCTGGTGATCCAAGATGGCGTCCTGTTCAAATCAACGGCTTGTGCTCAGAAGTGCATGGGATCACTGCGGGCACCAAAAGATTAGCGGAACTCGCCCATATTTGGGCATCCTCTGGTCCACCATGTTTTGAGCAGTGGACGAGCTCCCATGATGCTTTGCACCAAATTCACCTGTGTGGCTCTCAAGCACAGAGGGGCTCTAACCAATCAGTGTCAGCTGATCAGAGCGGAGCTAGAGCAACAATGTTCAACTCTAGAGCTGTGTTCACACGGCCGACAGCAGACAGCGTGTGGTGCTGGTTCAGAGTCACAGGGAGCTGCTCTAACTTAACACAGGTTTGTTTTCTATCATCATCATATAAATAAAAGATCCCAAATGCACTGTTTCCGTGACTCAGAGGCGGATCAGCTGGAAGGAATGGCAGCAGCATTGTTATTGATTTGTTTGTGTTGTTTTTTTGGGTGTGAACTCTGCACAGACCGTACGTGAGAGCTAAAGATAGACAAAGATAACATTCAAAAGCATTTGGCCAAATGTATTTTGGGACAAAGTATTTATATATTTAATTAGAGGATAAGTCTAATTAAATAGATCAAGTTTTCTGTAAACAAATCATTTTATTTACTGTACAGTTTACACAGTCACGGCGTGAACTTGATTTTTACCTAATCCTCCATAATCAGGTAATTATTCTTATGTACCTAATTGTATGTTATTTAGTACCATATTCTTGCAAAGCAGTGACGCGCATATTAAGCTAGAATAATATTCATGGTCAAACCAGTTCCATTGAGTTTTGAGGAAATGAATAAACAGGTTTATTGTTGTGTGACGTGAAAGGGGGTGGTGCGTTCTCAAAATGATCGTCAGAGCAACGGTCCCTCCCAAAGCACATCCAGTTTAAAAGGAGTCAGAAGGAGCAGCATCCATCAGAACAGTCACAGGTACAGGTGCATTAGACAGGAGAAAGACAGACGCCTGAAGACATCTGCAGACATGAAGACTGCACTCAAGCTGCTGCTGTCCCTGGCCTTAGCTGTGGCTCTGTCCATCAACACAGGTGAATATCAGCCGCACTATAGTCCTCATGTGCTCCTGCAAAACATGGCATTTAGACCTCCAGCCACAGGGGCTGTGCTTTTTAAACATGTGATATACTAATGATCTTATAGTGCACAGAACTGAGCCAGCTTTTTTCAGGAACTCCATACTTTGTCTTTCAATATCTGCTTCAACTCAAAGGGAAAATAGCATTTATTTTGTATACGTTGGTAATGTTTAGGTTAGTAATGCTTAGGTTAGTAATGTTTAGGTTGGTTTGTTTAGGTTGGTACTCTTGAGTTATCTTCAGTTCTATTCAGTTCACACTTAGGCCCCGACTCCACCGGCTGCGTAAAACCTACTACGTATCCGTCCAAACGTGCCTGTTTCATCTCTGTTTCTGTAAATCTGCCGTTTATTTATCGCGTAATGTCAATATTGACTCGCTTTCAAAAAAACCTGGATATGTTGGAGTTGTTTTCTCTCTACACCCCTTTTTACCATTTGCTTTCAATCATCCATCGCAACTTCCTCAATGTAGTAGTGCAATAGTGCCGTGCTTTGCATAGATCATAGCCACAGCGAGCCGAACAGAGACGCGGCCGGTGGAGTCCAGCACTTATGTTAAAATTCTATTATTCTAATTCATTTGGATTGGTCATGAAACTACAAAGAAATGATCCATTAGTCCGCCCCACCTGTCCACATGTGCTTTGTGGACTTGGAGAAGGTGTTCGACCATGTTCCCTGGGGGGGTGTCCTTTTGGGAGGTTCTCCGGGAGTGCCGGGTCCTCTGCTGAGGGCCGTCCGGCCCCTGTATGACCGGAGTCACAGCTTGCGTTGCCGGCAGTAAGTCGGCTGTTTTATCGGACTGTTGTGGTAAAGAGGAAGCTGAGCCGAAAGGAAAAGCTCTCCATTTACTGGTCATTCTTTGTTCCCTCTCTCACCGATGGTCTTTAGCTTTTCTTTGCGCCCCTTGACCACGGTCCGGGGCTTATATGAAAGGTTTAACACAAGCGGAGAATACGAAAGTGCAGGAAAGACGGGTGTGAAAATGCCCGTCACAACGGAAGACGTAATGTGACGCAGAATATCAAGCCCCCACCACACCCAGGCCCACTTTAACTGGGCTTTAGGCTGTGCATGTGACCGCAGCCTAAGGGTGAGGAGCTCAGTCACATGGGAGGAGCTCGGAGTAGAGCCGCTGCTTCTCCACGTCCAGAGGAACCAGTTGAGGTGGCTCAGGGCATCTGTTCCGGATGCCTCCTGGACGCCTCCCTGGGGAGGTGTTCTGTGCATGGTGAATGTATGATCATTAATGACTTACATCTGGTGTTTTCTCTCATAGCAACAACTACAACTACAGCACCAGCAACGAATACAACTACAGCACCAGCAACAACTACAACTCCAGCAACAACTACAGCACCAGCAACAACTACAACTACTGCACCAGCAACGAATACAACTACAGCACCAGCAACAACTACAACTCCAGCAACAACTACAGTACCAGCAACAACTACAGGACCAGCAACAACTACAGCACCAGCAACAACTACAACTACTGCACCAGCAACAACTACAACTCCAGCAACAACTACAGTACCAGCAACAACTACAGGACCAGCAACAACTACAGCACCAGCAACGAATACAACTACAGCACCAGCAACAACTACAGTACCAGCAACAACTACAGCACCAGCAACAACTACAACTACTGCACCAGCAACAACTACAGGACCAGCAACAACTACAGTACCAGCAACAACTACAGCACCAGCAACAACTACAGCACCAGCAACGAATACAACTACAGCACCAGCAACAACTACAGTACCAGCAACAACTACAACTCCAGCAACAACTACAGCACCAGCAACAACTACAGCACCAGCAACAACTACAGGACCAGCAACAACTACAACACCAGCAACAACTACAGCACCAGCAACAACTACAGGACCAGCAACAACTACAACTACAGGACCAGCAACAACTACAACTACAGTACCAGCAACAACTACAGCACCAGCAACAACTACAACTACTGCACTAGCAACAACTACAACTCCAGCAACAACTACAACACCAGCAACAACTACAACTACAGTACCAGCAACAACTACAACTACTGCACCAGCAACAACTACAGCACCAGCAACAACTACAACTCCAGCAACAACTACAACACCAGCAACAACTACAGCACCAGCAACGACTACAACTACAGCACCAGCAACAACTACAGTACCAGCAACAACTACAGCACCAGCAACAACTACAACTACAGCACCAGCAACAACTACAACTACAGCACCAGCAACGACTACAACTACAGCACCAGCAACAACTACAACTACCAGCAACAACTACAGCACCAGCAACAACTACAACTACAGCACCAGCAACAACTACAACTACAGTACCAGCAACAACTACAACTACTGCACCAGCAACAACTACAGCACCAGCAACAACTACAACTACAGTACCAGCAACAACTACAACTACAGTACCAGCAACAACTACAACTACTGCACCAGCAACAACTACAGTACCAGCAACGACTACAAACACAGCACCAACAACGACTACGACTACAGCACCAGCAACAACTACAACTACTGCACCAGCAACAACTACAGCACCAGCAACGACTACAACTACAGCACCAGCAACAACTACAACTACAGTACCAGCAACAACTACAACTACAGTACCAGCAACAACTACAACTACTGCACCAGCAACAACTACAGCACCAGCAACAACTACAACTACAGTACCAGCAACAACTACAACTACAGTACCAGCAACAACTACAACTACTGCACCAGCAACAACTACAGTACCAGCAACGACTACAACTACAGCACCAACAACGACTACGACTACAGCACCAGCAACAACTACAACTATTGCACCAGGAACAACTACAGCACCAGCAACGACTACATCTATAGCACCAGCAACGACTACAACTATAGCACCAGCAACGACTACAACTACTGCACCAGCAACGACTACAACTACTGCACCAGCAAAAACTACAACTACAGCACCAGCAACGACTACAACTATAGCACCAGCAACGACTACAACTACTGCACCAGCAACGACTACAACTACTGCACCAGCAACAACTACAACTACTGCACCAGCAACAACTACAACTACTGCACCAGCAACGACTACAACTACAGCACCAGCAACGACTACAACTACTGCACCAGCAACGACTACAACTACTGCACCAGCAACAACTACAACTACAGCACCAGCAACAACTACAACTACAGCACCAGCAACGACTAAAAATACAGCACCAGCAACAACTACAACTACAGTACCAGCAACAACTACAACTACTGCACCAGCAACGACTACAACTACTGCACCAGCAACGACTACAACTACTGCACCAGCAACAACTACAACTACAGCACCAGCAACAACTACAACTACAGCACCAGCAACGACTAAAAATACAGTACCAGCAACAACTACAACTACAGTACCAGCAACAACTACAACTACTGCACCAGCAACAACTACAGTACCAGCAACGACTACAACTACTGCACCAGCAACAACTACAACTACAGCAACAACTACAACTACAGCACCAGCAACGACTACAAATACAGCACCAGCAACAACTACAACTACAGTACCAGCAACAACTACAACTACAGTACCAGCAACAACTACAACTACTGCACCAGCAACAACTACAGTACCAGCAACGACTACAACTACAGCACCAGCAACGACTACAACTACAGCACCAGCAACAACTACAACTACAGTACCAGCAACAACTACAACTACAGCACCAGCAACAAGTACAACTACTGCACCAGGAACAACTACAGCACCAGCAACGACTACATCTATAGCACCAGCAACGACTACAACTACTGCACCAGCAACAACTACAACTACAGCACCAGCAACGACTACGACTACAGCACCAGCAACGACTACAACTACAGCACCAGCAACAACTACAACTACAGCACCAGCAACGACTACTACTACTGCATCACTTACTATTACTACTACTACTGCACCACCCACTACAACTACTACTACTACTACTTCACCACCAGCAACAACTACAGCACCAGCAACAACTACAACTACTACTACTGCAGCCTCCTCTGCTGTGTCTGATGTGAGAATGACTTTGCTCCATTCTCTCCTGGGACTCCTCCTGATTCTTCTGTTGTAACTGAAGTACATAATATGTATTATGCTACTTTTATTGGTATGAGTCAAATGTATTTGTTATGTTCACCCTCAAACAAGGTCACGTTGAGATATTTTTTACATTTACTTCATGATTCAAGAGTTAATTTGCCATTTGAAAAACTGCAGTTGTTAAACTTGAATGAAGTTCCAGAGACAACCTTGAGACCAATATGAATTCTGTTATTATTAAATTAGTATTTATTTATTTATTTATTTATTATGCTCTAATATTTATATGTATTTAAAATTGTGAAATCATTGTTGTAATAAATACAAGTTGATTTTAATCTTGGTTTCACAGCTGCATTTCTCAATGGCACTGGACCACACATATATGACTATAGGCTGTAACAACTGTACACACTGAAACAACTGTTCATTTACAGCCACTTTTCACCAAATACTGTTTTTGTATTAAACAGTTAGCTACTGGCATGAGCAATGCATTGTGGGATAGAAGAAGAAGAAGAATTCCTTTATTCGTCCCACAGTGGGAAAATGTCGATGTTGCATCGCACATATAGGACAGTAGTAAGAGCACACAGGGATCACACACAATATATACAAATAAGTAGTGCGATGTTTCTTAACTAACATAACTAGCTGTAGATGCTGAAAAAATATATATGTAGTAGTGCAGTTATATACTGTACAGTTAAATAGTGCAGGATAAAAACTATATAAGTAAAGTGACATGAGGTAAAGTGACATTGTTCTGTGACAGTCTTTACTTAATTACAGATGAATGAAATTTACAGGCTCAGCAGTTCTTATTGTACAGTCTGACAGCAGCAGGAAGGAAAGACCTACGGAACCTCTCCCTCACACAGTGAGGGTGAATTAGTCTGTCACTGAAACTGCTCTCCAGAGCAGAGAGAGTGTCCTGCAGGGGGTGACAGTCATGGTCCAGCATAGATGTTAGTTTGCTCAGGACCCTCCTGTCCCCCACCTGCTGCACTGTGTCCAGGGAACCTAAGTCAGGGATACCTAACTTAAACTGTAAACTGATGTTTTAAATGACAGTAAACCATTTTATTTTAAATGTCAACTTTCAAGGAGCCATTGAGGAGTCTCTGAGTGGTTGTGTCGTAAGAGCGGATTGGTTCTTCAGCAGTCAGTGGGCGGGTGGGCTTGGTGATCCAAGATGGCGGATTATTCAAATCAAGGGGCCATCTTCACTAGCCTGTCTCTTGCCAGACCCTTATAGTTTTCTGAGTGCACAAGGACTCTCCTTCATAGCAGATGATTTTCCATGTTGTTATATGTGGGTTTTAAGAGTCAAAGTTTCATGTAAAGTTTGTTTAAGCAGCTGCTCCTGTGAAACCACACTGCTGCTGTGTGATAACAACACCTTTTCTGTCGAGTTCAGCTGTCACTCAACTGTCACATGACGCGTCCTGTGGCTAACTCGACCTCTTACTTCTGGTCTATGTATGTATGTATGCCAATAATAAACTAAATGCAAATAATAAACAAAATCTAATGACTGTATTGTACTGTATTCAAAATGAATAACACTAGTGTGTTCCAATGAATTATTTTGATAATTTGTGTTCTTTCGGGTTTCTGCACATGCACAAATCAGACTGGTTTTCTCTTCACCAAAGTTGAAAACTCACGCAAGTATGTCCCTCCGTTACAAAGGGGGACACTGCATGAAAAGTTAGATTTTCGTCACCCTAAACGGCAGGAAATCACGGTCTTTTTCGGCAATCTCAGGCAGTTTTCAAAACGCGCAGTAATGGTGCTTTCAGACCGGATCATGCTGCGTCGGGTTTCAATGCAAAGTCTATGGTGACGCGCGTTCGACCGTCACAACGCACGGACCTCTCGGTTCGCACGAACGGACTGTTCAATAATGACGCACGGAGTTGGCGGGAAAGTGAAAAGGGAGGAGCAGGAGCGAAAAATCGACGCCCACAGGAGATGGATTCTGCTCATCCTTTCCTTGGGACGTTCGTGCGACAACCAATCAGAGAGCAGCAAAGTGGTCACGGGGACATTAGCGGACTGAGCGAGCAGACTGAACATACTCATAAACAGCCAAAACAGGACCCACACCAGGCTTCACCAGAACTCAAACCAGGGTTGACAATGGGGGACTGTGTGCTTGTGAAAATATGCGTTGTCATGCTCCCGTGTTCGCTGATGCGGAAATTCCATTGAATAACATGAAAAAACGTATGGCGCACCTCCGTGAAGACATATTACTGTTATATAAAGCCCATGGAATGTCTGTGAGCAAAGACACGCGGCAAAGCTGCATATTGGAGAAGATCTGTACACAAGAAGCCGCTAGCATAGCTCTGTCAGCATTAGAGCCGGCCGGCTACTTCCGGTACTTCCGGCTCGCGTCAGGACGTTCTGGTGTGAAGTCCTCTGCGTCTGAAAACTAGAGAATGCGAATCTGGTGAGCGGGGCTTCAACGTTTCAGCGTTGGCGGTGTGAAAGCCCCGTTAGGGTGCCCTGTCCTCCAAACTGCCGCATCCGTACCATGCTAATGTCCCTACTTTGCATATGAATGCAGCGAAACACTGCGGCCGGCCGAGCGCTAATGGCCCTAATTAGCATATGAATGCAGCGGCCAGGCTGCTTCAGAACACTATTCAGCATTGGCGGATACCACTACTTTCAAACTCGTGATTGGCTGAAAAATCACACGTGGCCAGCCCACGTGGGATTACTCCCCATTGGTAGCTTACTCCCCATTGGATGAAATCACTACTTTCAAATAAGTATAGTCTCTCGTGATTGGCTGGCAGATCTGTCACTATTGGTCACCCTGCCTCATAATTAATGTAATAATATTTATATAAATATATATTTATTCATATTATGCTGCATATATTGTATCCTATGTAGGCTACTACACTATTATTGGGCCATCAATGACATGAATGAATTTATAGAGGAAATGAACATTATCCAGGAATATGTTCATACAAAGAAAGCTTTATTAAAACACACACACACAGCTTTATGCTCACACATAGGTAATTAAAAAATCCCAACTCTGAACTGTCCAATAACCTCCTCTGGGTTGTAATTTGGCAGCGTTCTAGATAGACGCTTAATGTGAGTGGCTCTGTACTTCCGTGCCGTCTCTAACCAGGACTGCAGCTTGACACACAGTTCAGAAAACTCCGGCTTGCGAAAAGACGGTGACTGCACAATCCACCCAGAGACACCGTCCACAACGCCTTCTTCTTCATTGGACATTAGGTGTACCGTGTTGGACTTCCAGAGTTCCACTTTGTCACTTTCTAGCACAATCAGTCTCGATTCCAGGAGCTGAAAGAATCAGTAAATATTATTAGCCAAATCAAATCCTTTTTCCTATCTAAACATTGCCAGGATCAAAAACACAGTGTCTAAAGCAGACCTGGAGATTCTTATCCATGCATTTCAATCTGGAGAGACGAGGAAACAAGAATGCCTTTGAAGTATTTTATTGAGAGGTAGTTTGGCGCCCCAGGCCCCGGTGCGGCGGGGCCTGGGGCGCGCACAATCCCCCAGGACCTAGGCACTGGTGGCGGCATTTGGCAGCAGGAAGCAGATTGGAGGCAGGGTGAAGAGGAGGAGGAGGGGAGGCGGTGGTTGCAAGGCTTCGAGAAGGCCGTGAAGTGGGAGTTTCTCCGCTTTTAAGCGGCTGGCCTGGCCGGCGTAGGTTGGTTGGAAATGGGCGTTTGCTGTGCGATAGGCTGGGGATGCGAGCCGGCCTGGAAGGGGTGGCTTTGGCTGACGTCTTCCAAATTGAATTTCCGCGAGCTGCATTTCAATCTGGAGAGACGAGGAAACAAGAATGCCTTTGAAGTATTTTATTGAGAGGTAGTTTGGCGCCCTAGGCCCCGGTGCGGCGTTCAGTCAGCGAGGCTCCTGCGAGAGTGCGCGCACAATCCCCAAAAGGCTGTGTGTTGATGGAGTTTTGCAGGCCTGGTTTGCAGGGGACAGACGTCGTGACCGCTATATACTGTGACCGCTATATACTGTGACCGCTATATACTGTGACCGCTATATACTGTGACCGCTATATACTGTGACCGCTATATACTGTGACCGCT